CTATCTCTCTCTCTCTCTCTCTCTCTCTCTCTCTATATATATATATATATATATATATATATATATATATATATCTATATATATATATATATATATATATATATATATATATATATATATATATATATATATATATATATATATATATATATATAATCCGATAAGTTCAAAATTGCAGATGAAGTTGAAAACAGGTCACACGATTCTGTTCAAAACGCTTAATAACTATTAACTTTTGTTTCAGACTGCTTCTTATACTATTATACTAAAAACCCCGGCCGTGGCTTACTGACCCCTTCCCCAAGAAAAATCCTGCCCCCACCGCCGCAAAAAAATTCTGCGGGTGCCCATGAGCCTTTCCCAGGCAAATCTGAATTGCCACTAGCCTTGCTCATGCAAGTAACTTAGAAAGGCGAGTGATTGATCACATACATTGAAAATAAAATTTTACACTTTGTATTTCCATGTGATGACATTTAAAAAAATTATGAATATTTTATTTCTTTCAACACTTTGCATTTATAAACTCGTATAATAATTCGGGGCCTCTCATTAATTTCTGTAAAAGCAAAAATGACAGGAAAGCCTCTAAGGTTTACGTCCTAATTTCTTACTATGCATTGATCGGTGTACGCGCAGATTAAGATTTATGACATGCTGGGCAAATAAAAAATAATTGAAATTTTATTCCACCACAACAATAATGTCACAAATGTACAATTAGCACTGTGATAGAAAACAACAAATGCAGAAAAAAGTGATAGCATGTATTTGTTTGAGGTTTGGGTAATTTAACTATGTTCAAGGCATGTTCTACAAAACAATATTCATTAAAATAATTAATGCCGATTTCTCGATACGAAAGTCGGAAATGTTTTACAAAACATGCAGATTCACAGATTAAACGCAGTTGCAATGATTGTCAAATTAAACAGCAAAAACCTTGGAAAATAAGATAATCAAAACATTACACAATGAAGAAGAAATAAGTTACACTTTTGATGTAGAGAGATATCTAGATTTGTATATAATTAAATTTAAACTGTAACCTGAAGATCTAGTGAATATTACAAAGTCGTTATAAAACGAATCATGAAACAAAGAGATTGAAATTATGTGGAACACAAAAGTTCGATTAAAACCAACATTTGGTGACATGGTATATGAAGTAGCTATTTAGATTCACCGAGTCCGAAACGAAACTTTCAAAGCAGCAAAGGGAATGAACGTGATAGAAGCAATTAAAAATACCGTTCTGATCACTGAAACAGCCATTTAAGAGAATATTTATATCTATTCACAAATAGAATGGTTACGAATATGATGAGTGCTCTCTAGGGGTCTAAAATATATAAATAGAAAAGCATAATGAGGCCAAGGATTATCACATATCTTTCAGTGACGTATCAACTTACAGGTCTGTCAAAATACCTGATTTGAGAAACAAAAATGCAACTGAAGATTTTGGTAGGAAACTAAGGACCTCAGAGCCAATAGTCCAAGGCGACAAAACAGTTTAATTTCCGCTAGGTAAATGGAGTGTTACACTATAGATGCTTTTCAATTTTTCTCCGTGTAACTATTTTAATACAAGGTTAGGCTAGCGATAGATGACATTCTGTATGATAGAGGTCATAGCTGGGGCCCCTCAAACAGTGAGATGCAAGTGAAGAGGGCATAAACAGGTTTTCTTTAGCTTCTAATAAGAATGGTAATAAATATACTTACATTTGTGCATCTTGAATTTCCTCAATTTGTACTTTCTTAGTTCTTCAAATCCGACCGACTTGTCCTGCAAAACTTGATACAAACAGAAGCTGCACTGGAATTTCGAGTAGCCTACATTTCCAGCTGAAATCCATTCACCTTATTGCACTGAATTGACCCAATAATCCAGACCCTCATAATAAGAAAAGCATAATAGAATTGGATCAACATAAAAATAAAATACATGCTTATTCATTCACAATCTGGCTCTAAATTTCAATTTTAGGTAGACCAAAACGACAATTCTTTTTTAAACTGATGCAGAGCGCGCGACAAAGTTAAAAGGTCTATGGGCGGAGCTATGTGCACATGAATACTGTTATTGTGTTGTTGATGATTCTACGGATGTGAATTTATTTTGGAATAAAGCATAAATTCAACTTCATTGTTTCTTGTAGTGGCTTTTGTTGATAAGCCGTATATAGTTAAACAAAATGAGCATATAATAAAAAGGCTACTGCGAAAAAATGAACTCGTTTTGTCTGCAAAATACTGCACTCATCAAGGTCGTGCAGTATTTTGAAGAAGAAATGGTTCGTATTTTCCCATACAAATACAATAACCTATAAATATTTTTCACGGTGATTACCAGTTGCAGGCAGACTTTGCTGACATGAAAATACAACGATGGACACAAATGCATACGCATAGATGTAGAAACGTAACGGTGGATGTCAGGCACAACGCTTTCAGAGAAGCATTAAAAGAAAGAAAAAAAAAGAAAACGTGAAAAAAACGCAATTAAAAAAAGAAACATGGAATTCTTAGAAATGGACACGTAAAATCCATTTCAATTTATTCAAAGACAAACAACAGTAAAATACGAATATCTGTAATGGAACTCTGGATGCTAGAATGTGGAAGTACTTTGCTCAAATTTACACCAGAAAATAAGTCGATGTTTTGCTAAATCTAATTGATGGATACAGTAACACTTATCATACATAAATAAACACGACTTTTATTAAAAAAAAGAACAAAACGAAAAATGTATAAAGTGTATGAATTCATCTATTTGGTTATTTGACATTTAATTCATTTGGAATCCCAAATAAAAATTGATTTGAAAAAAAAAAACACAACGAGAATTATGATAAGCAATATTGGCAAAGGACTGATTTCAAACCTTACCGAAGACTTTCGAATCTGGCAAGAAATTAATTCAATCACGTAGTTTATAAACTGGAAGACTTAAAAGGAGTGGTGGATACAGAAGGCATGTATTTGAAACAACACGTGACTCTATATGACAAAACAAGATGACATGTACAAATTCAAAAATATAGCGATAAAAAAAAGAACAAACACATATTTGTTAAATGGAAATAATGAATCATTAACAAGCTGGAAATTATCAGAAAACATTAATTAATTAAAACATATGATGCAATAAAGAAACGCCTCTCCATTGCAGACGACAGATATTGATAAAATAATCAGGTTCGCAAATAATTGTAGTTTGTTTGCCATCACAGTTAAACTAGAGAATGGCATGCACCAAAAATGTAATGTTATTGTAATATAGACAATGTCAAATGTTACAAATGCAGAAAAGAAAAAATGACAGAAGAAACAAACAAATACAAAATAATAAGGATGCACATATTGTATAAAAACGAGATTATTCTGGAGTCACAATCAAGAAAATGGACAGATTAGAGACAATAAATGTACATAGAATTACTTGTAAACAGAGGCGTAACAATGGTGTGGCAAGACGCCGCAACGTGCCGTGGACGCTACTTGAAGGGGGGAGGGGTTTGGCGCATAATCGGTGAGCAGAACATTTTTTTTTTTGATATACGTTCAAAGCTATGACAGGGACGCAATTTTAGTTCTTGCCGTTAGCGCCGTATGTCCTCGCTATGTTTCTGCACTTAAATGTAGACCAATAGTAAATAAATGAGAAGTTAACTGCATGCTAATTTATTTAGTAAAAAACAAAGCAACTGACTTCTATGTTTGTAGTCAGTAAAAACTATAAATTATTTTTATTAACAAATGGAGAAAATAAATTGATTTTGAAGACCAAGGAGAGATATTAAACGATTTCATTTGAACGTAACAGACTCTACTGATAAATTGTTCTCACATTGGAATACTTAACCTTCACCTATGTAATTCAGATTACCAAAAAATAACAAGTCCATCGCCATACTCTTGTCCAGCAACTCCGTTTAATCCTACAGTGAAACATGATATTGCAAAACAATTACCAAAGTCAAGATTTAATACATGGGAAAGTATCTAATAGGTACAAATCTATTAAACATTTTTTTTTATATTTGCACCTCAAAATTTGTCAGGGATTATTAGATGAAAAGATGCAGTTCAATGGTTCAAGAGCTTGCAAGAATCTGCTAAACTGGCTGTATGGTTTTGAGATTTTGTTCATGCTTTTAATAGACAAAAAATGTATCAGAATTGATCAAAACAAGTTTGCAACTTTTATGTTTATTTTGTATGATAAAACAAACTACTGTAAGAATGTACATCACTTTTAAATGATGTAAATGTATTCAAATAAAGTAACGATAGCATATATATGTAAAAACATTGTGTGATCAGCAACAATTTTATAATTCCACTACAACATGGCTGGTGATATCTCAAAGGGAAATATAACAACAGTTAATACATGATATTTAACTAGTAAGATGAACACATAACTCTACAACAAAGCTTTGGGAAGAGTACATCTGCTGTTGTGTTATATGATTACATAGTTGTAACTTTGGGCAAGATATTTTTGAGTACTGGGGAACAGGCATAAAGGATCATACTGGCCGAGCTTACTTTTTCTACAAGATAGCAATGGTCTGATAGATGATGTAGGTATTGCAAACTATAATCTTAGCGTTTAGATCATATGTAATCTGTATTGTAGGTGCACTCGTACAATGCATAAGGTATGTTGCACATTCGGATTCAAGATGCAAAAAAAAACCCCATGAATAACCATACAGGTAAGAGTGAGTAAGTGAGTGATTGATTGAGTGAGTATGATTTTTAGCGTAGCTTTAATAATTTTTCAGTCATTTCGCTACGATGTCTGCAGTGTGGCAGTTTATAGTGATGCCAAGCACTGGGGCATCATGCCGCAGATATATAGCATGATGTCCCACCCAGTCACATTATCCTGACACCAGGCCGACCAGTCCTAATACTAACCTCTTAATGCTGAGCGTCAAGCGAGACCGCGGTTAGTACGATTTTTTTATAAGTCTTTGGTATGACTCGACCGGGAATCGAACCCACGACCTCCTGCATCCGAGTCGGACGCTCTAACCACTATGCCAACGGAGCGGTTCATACAGGTAAGATAGCAAATTCAGTAAAAGTAATAGAAAAATCAATTTGCCAAGCATTTCTACGAAATCAACGAATCACTGTAATAATATCGTTACACAGTGTTTTTTAACGAATCATACTAATAATATCTTCACATAGTGTTTGTGTGTTTTTAATTAATTTTTATATATAAACTAATTACATATTTGGCAGTATCTTTCGTTGTTTTAATTTTCTAAAAAAACTAATTGTTATGAAGCAGCTACATTTCATGTCGTATAGCATCAATGTGTCACTTTTATGTAATAGTTCTCAAGGTCATCTAAGGATTTCCGTTGCTATGTTTCATGACAACATTTTCATACTTTTGATCGTCTTTTGATTTGTTTGAACCGTTACGTGAAGCTTAAAATATTACTTTCGGTGGTATAACTGTTTCATTAAATCAATACAAATATTCATGTATTCGTATGGGCAAATGTCTTTCCTCAAATATTTGGATTTCATTGCAAATGCGGTGCATGCTTGTCATTTGCATTAGGGACAACGCGATGTTACCAAATGTTTCAATGTTTATTTAGACTTTTCATCAATCAAAGTTTTCGCCAGATATTCCTATGTCTGCCAAATTAGTCTAAAGCTATCCATGAATCTAACTTCCGGTTTGAATGTTATTTATTTTCCTTCTTTCACCATCCAATTATCTATGAACTCCTTACTAAAAGACACATATTGTTGTCGTTATTCGGCATGAATTTTACTTCTTCAACTTGACTGTTTCGTATAAGAGTTTTTATGAATAAGTGACTAACTGGACAAGTTGTAAATAAATAAAGGGATATATTTTGGTATCTAAAATAGATATTACATCCGTTATGAACAACCCACCTTGCTTCCTTAGAGGTTGTATTGGCGGACTTTGCCTTTAACTATTCTTTTATTTAATAATTATACGTATTTGCTGAGTTAATCCATTTTCATTGTTGGTGCGGTGTTCATTCTTCATACGCGATACCTACAATCCTGTACAACTTGTTGTAAAAGATAACTGTAGTCAAGCAGTACTTGTAACATTTTTCAATTGACTTAGGGTACAGAGTCCCGATTGAATGTATCTATGTGACTGCATTGTCTATGATGCCTAACATTATTAAGATATTATCTGAGGAACGATCATATACTTTAAACTCATAATTTACAATACTCGGATGTTTTTGATTGTATTGGTATTGTCTCTTTTGCTTGTTTTATTGACATGTATCCAATTATCTGGAGCACTTCCAATATCAAAGTGTAATATGTCTTTAAAAAACACGAGCGCTATGTTTGTTATTGTCGGTACATTGTTTCACTAGCACCAGGTAGTTCAGGAACATCACGCGTGTTGAAGTTTTTAAAAATAAGAAGAAAAAAAATTGGAACGCTTAGTTATCCTACTGAGTGTTCGGTAATGACTTTTTCGTGTAACGTTATTAAAATCAAAGAAATAATCGTGCATAATTTATTTTCTATGAATACAAAGTGAAAATTTAAAAGTAACTTACAGTATTGTGGATTAAATCTCAAATAATCCTAAACGTTCTATCACAGGTACAAAAGTATGGCAAGTTCCGAATGAAGTCCATGTCTTGACTATGCTGATATGCCAATAGTCTTGAATATACTGATATACTAATAGTTTAATATATCAGATTGATAAAATCCAGATTGTCTTCGAATGATTTCACAATAATTTCAAAATAGTGTTTTAGTCCCAGGTATCAATGCGTACTTTGTAGTTCAAATGAATGCTTAAAATAAATAATTCCTCTCAAATTGTATCTGAACACAACAAAATGTGGTTCTACATAGACTGGTATTAAAATAGGAATGAATAATTGTTTATTTAGTTTTCCTCATATACAAACTATCATCTGAATTATGACACAACAAAATGCCCTGGACTTAGGTCATTTCCAGAGTAAAGATTTTGTTTACAAATGATAATTATCTCAGTTTATAATGCAGTCATGGACAAGAGTTAGGTAATATGTTGTCTACATATGACCCTAACAATCTACAATCATGGACATACATAATAATGTATAATGCACAGTCATGAACAAAAGTTAGGTAATATGTTGTTTACATATGACTATAGCAATCTACAATCATGGACAAAAATTAAACACATAATGTAGATATGCATGCCAAAATTATCATATATTTTCAGCAAGATATTTGCGAGTTTGGCCTAAGTTAGAGAGAAAATTAAGGAAATGTATTTTATAAACGTAAGTTTCTTAAGTATATCTTGAAACAAACTGTTTCACGCTTGAATTTCATTCATATTATAGTAACCTACGTCGTCTATTAGGTGAATTTGGTATGTTTTATCAAATCATTGTTACTTCTTGCTATGAAACATTTATAAACAATACAGGCATAAAAAGAAAGTATTTTACAAGGGAGTATATCACATATTACAACTTACTCGACAAACCACTGGCCTATTGATTTTTCAAACCTTTACAAATTTTGCAACTGAAACGATGCCGAGTGTTATGACAAATGCAAAGATGGCAATTTAAGGGACGAAATTCCCTTTGTAGGATTTTGACTATTGAAGTGTTTGATTTCTTTTCTTCTCTATTTTCATTATGTTTAATACAGTTAGATGTCGAATCGCACAATTTATATAAATCCACTTGCGAATATGTTTTTCTTTTTAAATAGCCTCCTTAGTATTGCAAATTCCACAAACCATTATGACGATCGACTTTAGTGATTGTAAATATTCTAATTAGGGAGTTAGAGAAGATGTGAGAGCAATGATGAAGAAACATTAAATTATTTAAACAAAATGTACACACATATAAAAGGTTCAGCAGTATAGCCATTTGTTGTAAATATAGTAAAGTACAGCTCAGTATCTGGTTAATGGATAATACATAAAACGTTGATCAGTGTGATTCCTATCTTCCGGCATAGTGAAGTAAATTCTCCATGAATACGTGTTTGGAACATGAAATGAGTCATTGTCTTGCATCTGGACTTAATTACGACTGGAAATGGTCAATAACGACAGCATAAAAATAATAATGGTAAAAATAAATATTTGTTTTATGCATATAGTAATGCACGTTTTCCTTACCATGATCTCTGATATTCAATAATCTGTAGCCCCGGGAGGTATGTATTTCATTAAATACCGTTAGTTTCAGGTCACGTAGTCAGGATATGACGTGGTAAAGTTTGTTGCCGTAACATTGCTATTGACGATGGGGATCGGGGGACATATCGATACATTGTGGTAACCAGATTAATGTTGACGTGCGATACGAGTTGACGTTCCGTAGATATACTATATATACTTCAGTTTTCAATCACGTTAAAATGTCACAGACAACTGGGTATATTTAGCAAGAATGAACATACACTGTATGAAATAAGGACATCTTTAAAAAGAGTTTAGGATGAAGATGAAGAACTGGAACTGAACCTTTGATAAGGCTGCAACGTTGACACGTTTAAATACCTTAGTTTCGTTTACTGTTTGTAAAAGTCTTCATAATCAGTAAAATTGTTAGAGAACACGCGTTTAGCTGTCATTGACACAGGAACAACCATTTCCAATTAAATTATACACATTCACTCTTTTGCTGAAGAGGATGGTTCAGTAAGTCTTTATGTTAATTCCGTTTTAAGCATGTATCTATGAATTTTACATCGATCGTGGCAACGCTGGCAAAAGTTAATGATAATTAGTTACGATGCACATTATACAACATTGTACAACAGGTTAATTTATTAATAAACTACAGTACTTCAGGGATTTAACATGATTACAGCTGAATTGCATTTGTAGACGTGCAGATGTGCCTCTGTCAATATGTAATTCTGTTAAATATAATATGGTATAGTATGGTGGTAGTGTTTTTAATTTTTAACGTAGTTTTAACAATTTTTCAGTCATTTCGCTACGATGTCTGCAGTGTGGCAGTTTATAGTGATGTCTAGCACTGTGGCATCATACCGCAGACATGTAGCATGATGTATCACCCAGTCACATTATCCTGACACTGGGTCGACCAGTCCTAACACAAACCTCTTAATGCTGAGCGCCAAGCGATGCAGCTGTTAATACCATTTTTGTAAGTCTTTGGTATGACTCGACCTCCCGCATCTGAGGTGGACGCTATAACCACTTGGCCACCGGAGCGGTTGCTAAATATAATATTATAACTACTTGTATCTGTAATTCAGTTTTCATACTTTATCGTGTTTTGAACATGTGATCGGCGGTTGTTCTCCACATTGTTACTGTTCTGTCTAATAGGGTGCCTAACCTCACTACGGTGACCTAGTTTGATTTCACTTCCGGGTCACTCCTAGTCTTCATTGCAGTACCAGAGTTCCTAACATTTTTGTAGAAGATCCCCCTTTTTTACTGATTTTTTTTATTTCACCGCGAGGAAATTGTGTTCTGTGTGAGGTAATAAACATTAATAAAGTTATTGTAAAAGTCACGTTGTTTTTCGTTGAATAATGTCATTTTCTTAAATTAATTCTATAGTGAGAGATTTTCTTCAGTGGCGTTCCACAGAATTCATTTAGTATTCCGTACACCTTACGAGATTTCATAGTGTATTTAAAGCAGGGTCTTGTGGGATTTAGAAGGATTGTAAAGCGTTCTCATTAGAGACAAATCAATGACCAAAAGTTTAGGTACACATTAACTTTATTTGTATTTGAATTTAGAATCAATAAAACAGGAAATATCGTTCGAATTACATCTATCAATGTTGAAAAATAAAACAACTTTTTGCAATAAGCAGAGGACCCTAACGTCAGAGTTTGGTTATTTGGTTATTTTTAGAATATGTATGCACATATACACATTCATTTATAAGCAATACAATTACATTTAACTACATTCATCTGCAATGTTGAGTCATAAATGTATACACGCTACCGAATGACGTCACATTATTTACGTTCCAAAAGTTATTGTTTCTTGATAATTATAGA